CGAGCTATGGCTAAGAAGGCCACTCAAGAACACAATTTTTTTCAGATATTGACTTAGCTGATACTTTTGTAGGTCAGTCTTTTGATAATGAAATAAATTTTTCACCCACCTTTACTCTGCCTGAAACTCAGACAGATTTTTCAATATCTGATTTTTCTACACAAAGATCTAAAGATCAAGGTCATGATACGCTGTCAAGGTCACAGCTTATCCAGGAACAACAAAATGATCCTGAGATTTCAATCCTTTATATCAAAAGGCTTTTAGTGAAGATGAAGCTTTACAAGTCTCTGTTTGTTATTATGAAAAGAATGGGATTTAAATGAGAAAATGGCGACCCCCAATGTCCCAGCTGAAGTGGAGGGGACTGTTAATCACCAATCGCCAGACAATACCTAAAGCTCATTTACAGCCTTTTCCTGCATTTGATGAACCTTTTAGTAGAGTTATTATTGACTGTGTAGGTCCATTACCAAAAACTAAATCAGGTTCTCAGTACTTATTTACTATTATTTGTGCTTCTACGCGCTTCCCTGAAGCTATTCCTTTAAGGAATATTAAAGCCAAAACTATTGTCAAGGTTCTTGTGAAGTTTTTCACATTTGTTGGTAAACCTAAGTCAGTACAGTCTGATCAAGGGTCAAACTTTATGTCTGGTGTATTTGTTAGACTAACCCTAACCATTTATTGTTATTTGCTGTAAGAGAATCTGTTCAGGAATCTCTTTGCTTCAGCCCTTTTGAATTAGTATTTGGTCACACTGTCCGAGGACCCTTAAAACTTCTGAAAGGGAAATTCCTGTTTGAAGATAACATATCTTTAAATTTGTTTCAGTATGTATCAGAATTTCGAAATAGGTTGACTAATGCATGTGAGTTAGCTAGGCTTAATTTAAAATCAACACAGAGTAAAATGAAATCAAGGTATTGTTACGAGCCAGGTGTAACGAGAAAGAAAAGCCAGCAACAAACTTGTAACAATAACAATTTTATTACAGAAAAATTATTAAAGAAAATTAAAACGACAAATTATGTGTACAAATACCTGAAGTCCAAATATAAATGCCAAATTCATATGCTAGTCTGAATGATCCTGGAATGATCCCTTTTTAAATAGTACAGTTAAATCCAAGTTAAATCCAAGAACACTTTAGAATAATTTCCCACAATAAAATCAACAAGAATAATTTTAACTATTTTAAAATAATCCAAGCTCCAATAAATCACTTAATATCCAAGTTGAATAATACTCCAAATATATTGATGACTTAAAAAGGTAACTGATGACTTAAAAGATCACTGATGACTTAAAAGGTAATACGAAAGAAAAATGTCTCCTATATATAAATATTAAGCTAAGAAGTTTCTAGAATAGTCTTTCATGTTCTACAATAATCATAATCTAGCAACTTCAACAATTAAGATCATTCCGGTAATTTCTATATAATTATAATGCATGAGTTTCCTACAACAGTTAAGAAAGTTCTAGTACATACATGTAGTTTATGTTCTAAAAATAGAACAATGATAATATTGGAAATACCAACTGGTCAGATATAAATTATATACATGTAATATTTGCATACATAACAGTATGATGAGAATGCTCTGGAAAGAAGTTTTAACCCTGGTGATAGAGTACTTGCTCTTTTACCTATACCTGGAAAACCATTACAGGCAAGATACTTTGGTTCTTATACTATTGAAAAGAAAGTCAGCGACCTTAATTATATTATTAATACTCCTGGGAACAAAAGTGTCACCAAATATGTTAAAAGAATGATTTGACAGAGATAGCAAAATTAGTAAACTTATATTTTTTGTAAACTCTGTTCTACAAAATCAATGTTCAGTTAAATCAAATAGTTATGAAAATTTTGAAAAGTCTGATCCTGGTTCAGCAAAGCTTGAAAACTCTGATACTCTGAAAAATCTGGATGAAAAACTTGCTCACTTAGAACCGTCGAAACGAGATGAACTGAAACATCTTATTTATGAATATGAACACTTATTTCCTGATATTCCCTAACGGACTGATAAAATACATCATGACGCCATTTTTGAAAACTCTGAACCAATAAAACAACATCCATATAGAACAAATCCTGTAAAACAAAAATACCTAAGACAAGAAGTTCAGTATTTATTTGATAATGACTTTATTGAACCAAGTCAAAGCAGTTACAGCTCTCCATGTATTTTTGTACCAAAATCAAATGGAACATATAAAATGAGTACAGATTATCGTAAAGTGAACTCGGTAACAAAAACTTACATATTTGCTATATCAAGAATTGATGACTGTATTGACAAAATTGGAAAAGCAAAGTATGTAACAAAGTTTGATCTTCTAAAAGGATTCTGGCAATTTCCACTTACTGATAGAGCTAAAGAAATATCAGCCTTTGTAACATCAGACGGCTTGTATCAATATAAAGTCATGCCATTTGGTATGAAAAACTCACCAAGCTTATAAACATGATAATATCTGGTCTACACGGATGTGACGCATACATTGATGACGCAATCATCTACTCTGATGAATTGGAGGAGCATCTCAAAACTATAAGAGCATTCTTCGACCGACTTAGTGGTGTTAAATTGACAGTTAATCTTGTTAAAAATGAATTTTAGTCATGCAGTTTTAACATTTTTAGGACATGTAGTTGGACAGGGTAAAGTTAAACCAATAGAAGATTAGGTCAAAGCTATCTCTGAATTTCCTGTGCCTATTTGTAAAAGACAACTGATGCGATTTCTTCGTATGGCAGGGTATTATCGTAAGTTTTATAATATTTTTTCGATTATTGCAGAACCATTGACAAATTTACTGAAGAAAAGAAACAAAATTCATTTGGAATGACAATTGTCAAACGGCATTTGACATATTTATGAGTGCACCAGTTCTCTTGGCACCAGACTTTAATAAAAAAAACTTTAAGTTAGATGTAGATGCTAGTGACATAGGTGTTGGAAGTGTATTGATCCAAGAAGAAAACAATGGTGTTGACCATCCTGTTTGTTACTTTTCTAAAAATTTAATGAACATCAGAAAAATTACTCTACTATAGAGAAAGAGTGCCTTGCCCTTATTCTTGCTATTCAGCATTCTGAAGTTTATCTCACTTCTTCAAAGTTGCCTGTTGTTGTCTTTAGTAATCACAATCCCCCAACTTTCTTGCATAAACTTAAAACCAAAAATCAAAGGTTGTTGAGGTTGAGCTTGTTTTTGCAAGAATATAGTCTTGACATTAGACACATTAAAGGGAAGATAATTTGATCCCTGATGCATTTTCACGTGTCTAAAACTGTTATTTTCAGCATTTTAAATTAAACATCTATTGATTAGTTTTACTTCGTTGATTGCTATTGTTTATAATACACATATATAAGATTTTATGTATAAAATTGTTTAACATTTCTCCTACGTTATTCGTAAGTTATATTGTTTGGATTTATGTAAAAGAAATATTCATTTCATTCATATTTCTTTTTCTTGAAGAGAGGAAGTGTTATGTATGCAACATATTACATGTACATAATTTATATCTGACCAGTTGGTATTTCCAATATTATCATTGTTCTATTTTTAGAACATTAACTACATGCATGTCAACAAGAAGTAGTTTCTTACCTGTTGTAGAAAATACTAGAATTATGATTCATGCATTATATTTAGATAGAAACTTCCGGATTGTTCTTTACTGTTGAAGTTGTTAGATTATGATAACTGTAGAAGATAAAAGACTTTTCTGAAATTTTCTTAGTTAATATATATAAAAGGACAATTTTCATTACCTTTACCTTTTAAGTCATCAGTGATCTTTTAAGTCATCAGTTACCTTTAAAGTCATCAATTTATTTGGAGTATTATTCAACTTTGATATTAAGTGATTTATTGGAGCTTGGATTATTTTAAAATAGTTAAAATTATTCTTGTGGATTTTATTGTGGGAATTTATTCTAAAGTGTTCTTGGATTTAACTTGGATTTAACTGTGCTATTCAAAAAGGGACCATTCCAGGATCAGATAAGACATTTGATATTTATATTTTATTTGGACTTCAGGTATTTGTAAACATAAATTGTTCTTTAATTTTTCTCAAATAATTTTTCTGTAATAAATTTGTTATTGTAACAAGTTTGTTGCTGGCTTTTCTTTCTCGTTACGTTTGGCTCGTAACAGTGTTAATAAATGTCTTACCTACTACTGTCTTACGATTCGGTTTTCATTTCGCAACTTCTGCTCCTTCATGCTAGGTTGTATGGACAAGTCTCGTAGTATGAAACGTTTAACAATAAATACAAAATAATTAATTGAAAATTTATGTTACAGATAAAATAAGTTTGTTCATTTGAGATAAATAATGATATGATAATAAACATGTAACCCAATATCCTCGAGGTCTGCTTTCACTTAATTATTTTTAATTGTTTGAACTGTCTCATATTTCCGTAAAATATAAAATCTAATATCTGTCTGTAAAAGTGTTTTTGTTTTCGAGTTGTTCTTTTTTCTTTTTTCTTTTTTTTTGTATGTTTGCAAGAGTTATATAATTGTCATGCACATTACACAGGTTATGTGACATGTGACCATATAACGATTTTACGTTGAAAAGACATGATACTGTCTGCTTTGTCGATTTTTCTTATTTTTGTTTTTGTTTGAAGGTTCAAACAATAAACAAAATTATATTTGCAATATAATAAACATAGAAACCTAAAATGAGACTGAATGCATCTTTGAAAATTTTTGATTTTTTTTTTAAATTTAAAGTTTTGTTTTGTTTAATAAGCATGTTAACATGTATTTGAGCTGGAAAAATCAAGACTGAAGCTATAAGATTAATACTTGAGAAAAAACAACGGGACTTCTTACTAACTCATAGCACGATTCTATCACCCAATCTTTATTACACGTTTCTTTATATTAAAGGTGTTTATTTGAAGAATTTCCAAATAAATGTTTCGGACAAAAAGTCGAGAAGACACCGGGATTCAATGCTAGAAGGCTTGTTTCAGCAAATAGACAAAACACCACAAGAAATGGTATGTTGCAGACCGTATAAAACTATATATATACTGAACTTAATTATGTCAAAGACATTCTCACTGTCTTTTTCATATATAAAGGGATGAAAATATTTGCGACACATCAAAGGAAGTAACTTAATTGCTACGTTAAGGGAGATAACTTATGATATACTGCCAATAGTGTTAATGTTTGTTTAAGTTATTTTATTATATAAACATCTTTAGCTAGCCTCGATTATAAACGGTCTTTTTTAAACAAAACTGAATCGTGTAATCAATTTTTTAACATTCGTCAATGTGTTTTTATTAATTAAATTGCCGTTTTGCAGCAACTCTATTGGCTGTGCATGTATTGTTCTCTATATTTATTTTGTATCTAGCTTGACTAATATTTTACTCTTTTTCTTATCGTTAAAAAGATAAAAAAAATTAAAGGATTTTTTTAAAAATTTCGATTTTTTTGTCATTTTAAACTTAATAATTCAATTCCAACAAAGGTTTTTCTAAACGCTAGAAGAGTGTTAATAGAAAGACTGAATTTCTTTACAGAAACTTCCTCCATTTCTCAAGAATTTCAAAAACCCTTGCTGGATTGAGAGAAATATCAATGACACAAATACACGTATTAGATGTTTGCCATACTTTTATCTCGTAGGAATGCCAAAGTGCGGTACATCGGACTTTTACAAAAGAATAACACAACACCCGTCAATTTCAAATAAATCTCGTAAAGAGACACACTGGTTTTCTAGGAGAGGATTTAGTAGAAATGGTATTCACGTTTATCATACAAGCATTTCTCTTAGATACATTCTGATATGTCATATTTTGTATACAATGTACAATATGATGTAAATCAATTATCTGTCTGTACTTTCTAAAGTGAACCTCCCTTAAATGAAACCAAAATCCTAAATTAAAAGAGTCGTTTTTGTCTTGTAAATATTAGATATATATTATCGATATCACCACCAAATATATAAATAATGCTTGAGTGTACAGTTATAATTGAATAATAGCATACATAATAAAACACATTGGATGGGAACGCTTGTTTGTAAAACAATATCCTCTAAACAACACCAACAATAAAGTTAACCCGATCCTTTAATATTTTTAGTTCTTAAGATATTCGAGTCTTGATGGGTTTGATAATCATTTGTTTCAAAGAGTCTGTTCAGCGTCATATATTTTCGTTAAAAAAACACAACAAGTTATTTTGTACTTCATAATATTGTGCAATGGTTATACATGAATAAAGAAAGAGAAAGAAGTTTTCTTCATAAAATCATTCAAAATTATTGTGTTTCAATTTCAGCTTGTTGACATTTAAGAAAACAGAAGACAGAAATGGTTTGATATCAGCTTTTCTAACTCGATGTCTAAATGTTCAAGACTAGAAGTAAATGAACATAAAGGTCAAATATGCTGAAAGAAAATAAACTGCTTTTTGTCTCTCGTTTTATAACCATTGAACGGTATTCATATCATTTTACTCTTTTACAGGAAAGTATAAATCATTAACAAATTATCTTCAACTTTACGACCACATAGTAACAGAAGACGTTTTAAAATCAAAACAGACGAATGGGCGCCACAGTGGAATTTTTGGTACGCTCTTTAAATATGTCACAATAATTATCTCTTCGAAACGTTAGGTCTAACATGTGAAATCAGTATTATTCGTCGGACACGAATTTTCCTTGTTTTCGTGGATAGGTCAATCCACGAATTTAAGACCCGACCAAATTTTATCTCAACGAATACTTCGATCTTACAATGTTTCGGTTCCATACATTACAACATGCGTTGGCGCTTTTCCGGCCGATTTTTGTGGTACAATTGTATACTGATAATCAGATCAGTGACAAATTAAATCCATAACAAAGTAAGTTTTGCAATATTTAAGAAACTTGAAAAAAAATGATTGTATGTCTTCAGTGTGCTGTCACAAATGTTCGTCGCATATAAACATCCGGGGGACTACTTGTTCGTTGTAGGCTATTCGATTGTGTTAGCCAGAATTCGCGACATAAGTAAAGATGGGGACCTTGTGCATTAATAAGCGCTGATAAAACTTTACACGACTAGTGTTTATATTATCCATATAAAAAAATCAATATGTGTTTGTGTGTCTGTTATTCCGAAAATATCAAAGAAGGAGATGTCTTTTTACTAGATACACACATATATATCTAACTGTATTGAGCCACTTACTCGTTTATATGCATATAAATTTACACAGTCGATGTGGCATTATGTGTAGTTTTGGGTAAACTTTTATACTCGCTAGTTAAAAGTGGAAGATATCGTATAATTTATGCGATGTTTATATTGACGAATTTAAGGGGCAGCGTTACACATAGAGCTGCATATATCATGTCACACAATCTTACTAATTGCTGTCAATTATCGTCAGTAACTGTGTTACTCCAAGAGACAGGGATTAAATTTATTGACAAGAGCTATGTTATATACACGCGTAAGTAAAGCAGCAAAAGATTACTTTTCATTGTTTTTTCAAGGAAATGAAAGTCCACGAATTTAAGAACCCACGAAAATGCCAGTTTTGATAAAACCACGAAATTTCATGCCCACGAATACAAATGATTTCACAGAAGTATTTCTTTAAAAAGTATCGGATACGCTTAAATAAATGAGTAAAATTAAAATTCAGTTATATGAAATCATCACTTGTTTGACAGGTTTTGATAAAATTATGTCTAAATGTCTCGAGGAATAGCACAATTATTTTATTGCTTAGTTATTAACGGTTATCTGATTTAATTGTACGTAATGAAAAAGCATTAATTCATTTTAAACCAAAGCAAAGTATACTGAATAGTATTATTTTAATAATGAAACAATTCTGTCTAATTGTTTGCTTTGAAAACATTACATCGGAAGCTTTCAAAAGCCAATTACGCCACCATTGAAAAAGTTGCAGTCAGTTTCGTCTAGCATATTATTTGACGGAAGTAGTGAATGAAGTTTGCCTTTCATCTCCAATGATTGAAGCCGATTACTCATTTCTATATGAAAATAGTGAAATTTTGAATTTAAATGCATTCGAAGATGTCTTTATGAGGCGATTATAACCTAAAAATAAGATATTTTGCATGAAATATTTCCTTAAAGGCCTCAACAAATTGAGATTATGGTTAATCACACACCTTGTGTTAATATTTGGTACCTCCCTGGAGTCACTTAATTAATAAAGATGTCATTTAGAAAACAAAATATAAGTTTCATAATGTTAAACAACAATATCATGAGCTGAAATGCTTAGTATGTAGCATTATCTGTCAGTTTGACATTAACCTTGGGTTAATATTTGCGACTAGGGGTCACTGAAATTATATACACTTATAATGGAAATGTATTTATTTCTGTCTTTTTGTGTGAAACCTTAGATATTGTGCATATAACATCACTTAGTAGATTTCTACAAAAGTTATACAAATCATTACCCTCAGATCATAATTGGTCCTGGCCCGTGAGGTCACTTGTTTTATATTGACTGGGGTAATGGAAAGCACCTTTTAACCTTTTGGAGATAACTTCTATATATAGCATATAGAATTGCCTCGTAGACCAAAGTATGTAAATTTATATAAAGCTGACTAAGTTTAATGATCAAATCATTTATACAAATGGAAAAAAAGAATAATTACAGCATTAATATTTTAAAGAGGTTTATCGATTTCATGAAGATCATGGAATAATAAAAGACTATTAACTCACCATAGGAATATACTATACTTGGAATGACCCTCAAAATGGCAGACAGTGGAGGTAATAACTACTATATATATGTGAAAAGTATCTTTTACAACAAAAGTATTCTAAACTATTTTTTCTAACATTTACAAGTAATGGCAGTTACAGTAGACATGTTTATTTTAGTTTAAACATGTAAACATATTCATGATATGTCCATGAATTAATAAAAGTCTGTTTCGTTTAATTAGACGATTTGGTGTTTAGCATTATCATTTCAAATACTCTTATAACGAAGATAAGGACCTTCTGCATACAAATATACTGTTCCTATTCACAATTACATAATGAGGAATATTGTCTGTATTTTAGTCATAAACGTGTCAGTTATTTGCTTTAGGTATTGTGATACTATCCGTACCATTGTTTTCTATGCAAAATTAAGTTGCGCGTACCATTTGATATTTTGAAAATACGATTCTACATATCTGTGTTTCTTTAAAATACAATTTCGTAACGTCCCCTATGTATTTTTTTAAATACAAATCCGTATATACCCTTTGTATATAGAAATTGTAATTCCGTTTATCCTCTGTATAGCTCGAAAATACGATTCTGTATATTCCCTTCATATTTAAAAAGTACCCTCTCGTATAAATATATTTTATATATTAAAAAACGATACATATGTAAACTGTATATATGTAGTATACTATCGAAAATAACTTTGATAAATGCCTTACACGGAATTTTGTTATCCTTATATTGCAAAATACGAACAATAATGCATAAATGTACAGAACAAGCTAGTATATATTGAATATACTGGACCATTTATTTTGCTGAAATGATATGTAATTAACTTATACCATATTTGGCATTTAACCCTAACCCTAACCCTATTCACTCTGGTTTGACTTTGGGCGTTTGGTAGGTTAATATCATATGCCAGAAACAAACAACACCAAATAAATTAACCCATGAACATCGGATAACACTATCAACTCGTCTAAAATTTGACATTCAATTGTAACCATATTGCTGCGGTTGCTCAGATATGATCTGAACCAGATGTAAAGTTGCTTGTTAGCAACCATTATCTTAAGTTTATAGACAAGTTTTTATGATGTTAATCTTTGCATTGTGAGCAAGCTTAAGTACGTCATCAAGTTTCAAACTACAATGATACAAATTATGATTTGAAGTCTCACTGATTTTTTTACTCGGAATTTATTATCCAAGGGGTGTTCGAAAGTACACAAATAAATCGACCTCGGACCATGAGCTACATGAATTTTTTCTTTAAATGTTGTAAGCCATATTCCTAGGTTGAATGAATTAAAGTCCACAGCGATAAGGGACAAGTGAATCAAAGACCGAACTATTGAATTTAGAGTTAACAAATATACTGAATCCATTTAGTGTAAAATGTAGATATTTATGCCTTTAGGAATTTCTCATCAAATTTTAAAAATACCATGAATATAAAATTGAGTTTGAACCATTTATTTCTACGGAAGTCTTTAAAAAACATGCTTGTCTTTTAACATTATTTTTGCAAGTTGCACATAATATCCAAATGTAAAACAAATGTTTCATAAAACTTCTGTCAGATAAGAATTTTGTAATAACATTGCTAAATTTTCTTTCCAGTATTTATGTTTTTATTAACACATCTGCGAATGCTTTTAAATTCAAAAATCCTCTATTACCATGATAAAATGTTGAATTCTGCTTAAGCCTGTCCCAGGGGAAGTGGACGGTAAATTAAACTTTCAATTACCGTCCATGAACAGGCTCAATCAAATGAGCTTTTAACAATTTAAAATTTGTCTTTTGGTGCGTTTTTATTGATTCTTTATTTCTCACTATTTAAGCATTGAACGTAAAATGAGTCTCTTCGGAAAGTTCGATATAATATTTAATTATAACAATATGCTCTTCAAATATGTCATTGTTTACTTATCTCAAGGTGATTTTAGTGGTACGTATTGGGACAGCAACAAATTGTTAATGAACTGGAATGATAAAAATGGGAAAGAAGCAATTCCTCCGTTTACTATTTCTGATGTCATACACAAATTGAATCCTGCCACAAAGATATTATTCTTGTTAAGGAATCCAGTTAAAAGGTAAAGTATCATTTTCATTAAGTGTTGTTATATTTCTAACAGTAAATAAAGTATGTCTTTATATCACGATTCAATACGAAAGAATATAAACGAAACAACATAATTATTTTTACAACAAAACCATTTGTGTTTAAGATAACAAGTATTGTATGTTTCAGAATTTATTCTGACTACTTATATTTTGGAAAAGGGAAAAAAGATGCTAACGATTTCCATGCAAAAATAAAAGCCGCTATACAGAGACATTGGTATTGTTTAAAGAAACACTGTTTACGCTATTGTACATATTTTTATGTATACGAGGTACGTAAAATGTTAAAATGTTAATTGTGATGTTGATATAATTGTATTATTCAGATATATGTGTTTTAGTAATATGTTTTTGATTGATTTGTTAATAGCAATATATCAGTCACTTGCTTTGATTGATCTGTTAGTATGTTTATATCTTCTTATTTTAGTTTCTTTTCTTCAAATAATGATTTATATATATATATGATTAGTACTGCTTAATATGTGAAGAATTTTTTCAAGGGTGTAAGACTCGAAGTTTCAATTTATCGTGTGTATGTAGAAGATTATTTTCGTTCCTTTCCTCGAGGTCAAGTGAAAATAGTCAAAACAGAAAACTTTTCTGCCAATATGGAAGCTGTTATTACAGATGTCTTTAGGTTTTTAGATATTGGTATGTACAAGCTATTGTTTGACACGTTATACTGATTTACTATTTATCCAAATCAGTGTGCATGCAGATATAAAAAACTTTAGTGTAGTTTATCAGTCTTTTATTGGAAAATGCAAATTCATAAAAAATGACACACAAGATAGATTTGCACTATAAGGGATAATGTATTTGAGTAATAAATCATAAATATGCCCTCTCTGATCATACCCGCTAAGCATAAGCGTTCAAATTACGCTCATTCTCTGTCAGAAATTCGGTATTTATTAAAAAAATTATATCAAAATTGAAATTAACCGTCACATATTTTGTAAAAATAAATCTTTTTTAGTTGCATGAATAACAACTTGAAAACTAATTTAGCGCTCACACAAATTTTAACTTTTAATGGTATTTCACTATGGAACGGCCTTCCTCAAAATCTTAGAGATATTCAATCTTCCCACACCTTCAAGCATGCCATCAAAGCCCATTTAATGGCCAGTTAATTTTAGTTTATTTTTCAAAAGTATTTGAATCTTTTAATAGTCTTAATAGAGTCCCAGATTTTACTTATTCTTAAGTTTAAGCACAACACACATATGTTGTGTCCTTTAGTAATTTACCCATTTTTAGCTTGCACATTTAACGTTTTATAATATTTTTATTAAATTTTTACAGTTTGACTGACAATTTCTGTGATGCACTATTTCATGATTTATTGATGTGATACAAACTTGAACTGTGATTTTAATGTGATACAAACTTGGACTGTGATATATTGTGATCTCAACTAAATTATTGCAATTTATGTCTTATTAGTAAAAGAATTAATTTCAATTTCATACAAATTAACATGACTTTCTGTGTCATGCCTCCAATATCAGGGACCACAATGGAAATAAGAGGAATCCTTTCCTCTTTTTTGTGTTATCCCTGGTATTGGTGGGCACTACATGGCTCATATATTTATATTTTGTCGTATACTTATGTCATGTGATATTTCTAGTCTCTTTAATATTTTGATTATTGTTATATGTATTGTATCATTATGCATCATTATGTCATTGCCATGTCATGTACACTTTTACCGAATAAAATTATTATTATTATTATTATAACCATAAGAAATAAAGTGAACATACTGAAAACAGCTGACTTTTTAACAATTTCCTGTAGGGTGGCTGCTATAGTTTGACTTTTAATTTTTTTTTATTTTTTTTTTTTATTTAAAAAAAGCAGAATAAGACGATATTTTTTTGTTTGAGTGCAATATGAAATATATTTTCACGAAACATGGTAAAATACCACAAATTTTCACGAGCCGGGACGGATGTTGAAGATTGATGGAAGTTTGAATATATCCGAATTTATTGACAAATATCTAGTGTATTTACTCTCCTTCAGGTAGGGAAAGGGGTCACATTATAATTATTTATGTCTTTGCATGCAAGCCAGAAATTCTTTTCATAGTAACTTTATAGGCATAGTATTGATTGTTTATTTTAAAACATATTGCTTAGCATATTAACACTAAATCCGTATGTCTTGTATGGCAAATGCATGAAAGAATAACAAACAATTAGTTAAAATCTTAAAATACTTAGTGTAGCCCACTTTCTAAATATCGTTTTGTTTTCAGTAAATCACCAAATGAGACCAGTAGTACTTTATTAAAACATGTTAATCTTCTTTAAAAAAAGAATTCTTATAGCTAAACTTATTACAGAAATTCCGAAAAAAAATATCATGACAGCCATCTTGTCTCTTCGAAGGGGAAACATCAACACAAAAATGTATGCACTAGTTGGTCAGATGTTACCTGAGACAAAAACGCTTCTATCAGATTTTTACAGGAAACATAATGAGAATCTAAGTAAGCTGCTTGGTGAAAATATGACATACGATTAACATTTTGAGAGGATGAGTATTATAATGATAATTGCATTGGAATATTCGAAGAAAAATAATATATGCTTTGAAGTACGGATTTTGTTATTTTACTGTAGAAGGCTTACAGCTCTGATTGTTGAAAGACTATATTTCTTCACTTACTTTTCATCATCTTCATCATTCAAAATAGAAATTTTGAATAAAATAATGTCAAATAAACTATTAACTATCGAAATATCTACTTTATATTAAATTTTATTTAGGGTTAGGGTTAGGGTATAGGCAAAAGAACGAAATGCTGTCTGAAAAATTCGGTCGTTACTAAAAATAGAAGTCATATGATATATATCCTATTAATACGTAGAGGCCTGTGACTTTTAAAATTGTCACATGAATAGAATCACGTGTTTTTAAATGCGCGCACATTCTTACTTTTAAAGTATAGGCATAGACACGACTCATAAAATAGAGAGAAATAAGAATCCCTAAAGATAGCCCTACACGGCAAAATTGAAAATGATGCCAGCTCGGTTTGATTGAGCCTGTTCATGGACGGTACTGTACCGTCCACGCCCCCTGGCACCGGCTTAAGCAGAATTCAACAATCAACATGAACTTGTAAAATTTAGAATTTGAAACATCCGCAGATGTTTTCATATGGCGGTTATCATGGAGCCTAGGGGCATATGGTCCCCAAGTAAAAAAATGCATCTGCCCTAAACGAAAAAAACAATGGGCGGAACTAAATAAAATTGATTTAGAAAGGGGATCTGAGGTTATGAAGTCTGCATATCACAGATATGACGTCAAAAGACATAAACCATATCTATTTTTGGATTATTTTATACAAGGTAAGTGTTTTCAAATATTTATTTTAGCCATTTTTTGACGCATTTAGTTGATGAGAGAATAAATATCAAGACAGGAGCTAGGACTCTGGCATTCTTCATGTTGTTAACAACGACGACGATGATGATGATGATGATAGTGATGATGATAGTGATGATGATAATGATGATGATAATGATGATGATGATGTTATTCATTGTCTAATTGATGATTATATGACCATCGAAAACTTTTAGAGTTAAATGAAGGAGCCATGAAATATTACATTGCTGTACCGTCATTTAAATCTATATAATTAAGGGAAAACAAGAGGGCCATGATGGCTCTGACGTCGCTCACCTGTTTTTAGGCCCCCGGAGCGGGGACAGTTTAAAGCCCAGGACTTTTATTTGAACAAACTAGGAAGACACCCATAAAAAGATGTTTCATGATGTTAAGTTTTACTACACACATATAATGAAAAACAATGATCTGCAACTCCCAGCCACCCCCGGCAGGACCAATTTCAACCCAAGGGCTTTTATTTGAACAAAGATGGTAGGCACCAATAAGAAAATGTTTTATGCTTAACATTTAAGCTGCAGCCCATTAGGTTTTAAAAAAAATCTTATTGGGTTTTTTAAAAGAAGATTTTTAAAGTTTTTACTATACATATATAATTACAAACAATGCCACTCCTGGGGCGGGGCCAGTTTTGACCCCAGAGCTTTTACTTAACCAAATTTTGTAAACACTTTCTAGAATAAGTTTCATGCTTAATATCTTTACTCTAGCTATTTGGCTTTTTTCAAAGAAGACTTTTAAGTTTTGCTAACACATATAAGAAAAATCAATGATACCCGAGGCAGCGCCAATTTTGACCTAAAAGCTTTTATCTGAACAAACTTCGTAGACACTCACAAGAAGATGTTTCATGCTTAATATCTCAACTCTAGCTATTAAGGTTTTTTCAAAGAAGACTTTTTAAGTGTTTGCTATACAGATATAAGGAAAATCAATGATCCCCGGGGCGTGGCCATTTTTGACCCCGGGGCTTTTATTTGAACTAACTTGGTAGACACCCATTAGAACTCGTTTCATGCTAAATATCTTAGCTCTAGCTCTTTGCGTTCTTTAAAGAAGATTTTTTAAGTTTTTACTATATGTATATAGGGAAAATCAATGACCCCCTGGGGTGGAGCCAATTTTGACCCCAGGGTTTTTATTTGAACAAACTTGGTAGACACTCATTGGAAGATGTTCAATGCTAAATATCTTAGCTCTAGCTCTATTGGTTCTTTAAAAGGAGATATTTAAAGTTTTTTCTGTGTGCATATAGGATAAATCAATTACCCCTGGGCAGGGCCAATTTTGACCCCAGGGCTTTTAATTTAAGAAGCTTTGTAGACAATCAATAGAAGATATTTTATACCAAATATCTAAGCTCTAGCTCTTTGGATTTTAAAAAAGAAGATATTTTAAGTTTTTTCTTTCCGTTGCCATGGCAACCAGAGTTCTGCATGGAATTAAATTCTTTGAAAAATTTTAAAAGGTGACCACCAAAGAATCATTTCTGTAAAGTTAGGATGCAACTGGCCATGTTGTGTAGGAGGAGATGTTGTTTAAAAAGTTAAATGCCATTTTTTGTAGGACGCACGACGCACGACAGACGCACAGTGATGACAAAAGCTCACCCTTGAACACTTTGTGTTCAGGTGAGCTAATAAAAAGAAGGCATAAATCTAAAAAGCAACTTTGTTTTATCATTCTGTTTACAACATCTGTTTATGACAACATAGCACTTATGAGGCACACATTTAGATAATATTATTTAAAATTGTCATATTTGGTGAAAACATACTGCATAGCATTAAACACATCATGTGCAGATATATTTACAATGAAAAGCTTTCATTTAAACATTAAGCTTGACTTTTGTTATTTGACCTTGACTCATAAATGACCTTGACAGTCAAATTTTTAGTTTTGCTTCAGTTTTGCTATAACTTGCTATAACTCTGTAATTAATGAATGAATTGTTTTCATACTTGGAAACCTAAACTATTTGGACAAGATCTTCAAGAAGAACAAACTGAATTGACTTTGACTTCTAAATGACTTTGATTTTGAAAGTTTTGCCAAAATAGATTGTTACTTTGTTATACATGGAAAAATTGGATTCCTTCTTATAGAAAAAAACATTTATGACAAATATTGATTTATTAATTTTAGCCTTAACCTTATCATAACATTGGCAAATGATTGTCATTGTTAAACCGTTGAATTTTGCTTAGATTGAAATTGAAATAACTGTTTTCTATCATATCTTGTATATTACAGATATGTACAAGCAAAAGGTATGGCATAAGTTAATCTAAATGTTACAGAGATTTATGGTAAAGGAAATGGTGTAAAGTAAACCTAAACATCTTTATTGTTAGATGTATTTATAGAGGTATAGCACAAGACATTATATTAACCTAAATGTATGAGCTTTGTACAAGAACATGAAATGGCATGAATTCAACCTAAATGATGCACAATATGGCATGAAGTCAATCTTAATGTTAGCCAAATGTGCAGGCACAGGAAATGGCATAAAGTCAACCCAAATGATAGAGATGTGTATTGTACAAAAACTTGTATAGTAAGCCACGAAATTGGGAGATGTGTTCAGGTACTGGAAATTGCAGCAAAGACAACTAAAATTTTTGAAAAATATATACAGGTACAGGGAGAGGCATGAAGTCAAACTTAAGAAATGTGTACAGGCACTGGAAACAGCATTATATTTACCAAAATGTAGGATTTGTGTACAGAAACAGGAAATGCCATTAAATCAACCTAAATGTTAAGAATGCTAACAGTAAAGAAAAATGCATGAAGTTAATCTTAATGTAAGCCTAAAGTTCAGGTACAGGAAATGGTTTAAAGTCAATTGAAATGTTAGAGATACGTGCATATATAGCAAATAGCATGAAGTTAACCTTAATGTTAAGCGGGTAAATGGTATGATGTCAATTTTATGAGGGTCAACCTAATTCCTAGAGATATGTACATGTACAGAAGTGGCAGGTCAACCAAAATGTTGGGAGATGTTTACTTGGACAGGTACAGGAAATGGCATGATGGTGATTTAAAGACATTTTCAATAGTTTTTTTTTTGTTCGCATGGAAATGAGTTTCCAAGAAAGTTGATCATGGATAATTACCCTTCAAAAAGGACAGTAGTGGAATAGTACTCTGATAACTGTTTTAAGATCCTGTATGTTGTAATTGAGGTTTTAAACCACACATAAGTGAAAATATATATATGTATAAAACAATTTTCAAACATCAAAGAATATGTAAAATATGTACTGCAAATATTTGTACATATGATATAAATTATAGAATTATTGGGTGAGGTTATCTTTGCATAAAATTAGCTTGTTGTTGGTATTTAGCTATCATATACATTTTTCATTTTTTATAACAAAAGTTGGTTATTTTGACAGTTTTGAGAGAAATGGTTACCATGGAAACAAACATTTGACAAGAAATTCTTCTCATTTTTGAATTGTCATTAAATTTTACTTTTCATACAAAAATTCTACAAATTCTATGAAATTAATAAATTTTATAAAACTGTACAAAATATCTTTGAATGTAACAGATATGTACTTGAATAGGAAATGGCATTTAAAGTCGACCTTCATGAAACAGATATGAACAGGAAAATCATTTTGTAAACCTGAATGTAAAGAGGGATACAATAGCAGGCAAAGAAATTAGCATAAAACTAACATAAAAGTAAAAAATGTGTACAGTTCAAGAAATGACATGAAGTGAACCTAAATTTAATGGCTGTGTATAGGTACAGAAAAAAAGGTAAAACGTTACACTAAAGGTTAAAAACGTGTGCAGGAAAAGGGGTATGAAGCAAATGTTAATGTTAAAAGAAATGAACGGAAACAAGTCAATTACCTAAATGTTTGAAATATGAACATGTGTAGGAAATGACATGAAGACAACCTTAAAGTTAAAACATTGCTTTTGCAGAATATGGCATAAAGTCAAGCTAAATATTAGGTCTGTATAGGTCATGTCATAAAGTCAACCTAAATGTTAGAGATACAGACACAGACAGGAAATGATACATGTGTATATTGCCAACCTTATTGTTAAAGACATGTACAGGTACACAATAT